AGAGAGAGAGAGAGAGAGTGGGGACCCTCCAGTTCAATAAACAACTGGAAAGTTCATTGTGGCTTATGAATATAGCTACTTCCTAAGTGAATATCTCTGACCTTTGGTTATCCCCCATTCCTTGGACATGTGTCATTAAAGGGAGCTCTAACAAAAACATCCACACATTCCTCTGAGTCAGGAGGGAAAAAGGAAATGTGGACAGAAAATATGCCTGCATGGAGCCCTCTGTGCCATCTCTGAGGAGAGTATGAAAATAAAAGCCGTCCAAGTGGATTTATTGGCCTTTTAATCCATAAAATATCTGCATTTTTGTCTGTATGGTTTAAATTATGTTGTTTATACAGTTATAGGATATTACTGAGAAAATAAATGCTTAATATTCATCACATATCTTAATTTCCCTTTTATTTTTAAGTAAGATAACGATTGTTTCAACAAAAGTTTTCTGCTGCATACTTTACCCATTAGTCCTGAGCATACAGTATCATACACTGGTGTATTGTAAAAAGCCATCTCCATCCTTTGAAGCTTGAGGTTTCCATAAACAGAGAAAAAAACCTTTGAAATCTGAACGTTTGATTTTCCTCCTCTGTCATGTCTTTACGTCACCATGTTTGTTGTTGGCAGTACAAGTGGCAGACTTGACTGTCCCGTCAAGTGGCCGTGGTTAATTGGCGTCTGAAGTCTGTCACTGCCTCCCACTTCCATCTGGAAGCTATCTACTCAAGTATGAAATATGTTTGTCCGAAGGCAGCGACTGTCGACATTATCTACTATTTTGTTTGTCACGATCTATAAAATTTGTGGTTGATATAAAATGTTTTTGTGTTGAAATTCTGAGTCGTTCCAGACGATGTCATTTCACTAAAATACACTTATAAATGACAAACTTGTTTAAATCTATAAACACGTATTTGCACTTCTGCTGTGTCTACATACATTTCATTTCAGACACACTGTTTATGGGAGGAAAGTTGTTTTAAATTCCTGACAGACATTAACTCTACAAACTAATCTACTGTCAGGCTGTTTAATTTGCCATGCCTTGAACTTAATATTTTGAATGCTTGGTAGCAACCTGCATTTTCTATCTTTAACTACCATTTAAAATGTTCTTGTTCCAGCCAACGTCTGCAACAACCACAAAATAACTGCCATAAGCGTGCCCCCTTTTTTTTTTACAGAGATAATGTGTTTGCAGATGTGAGGGAGCCAGATGGGCTGCCATGGGCGCAACTGGGTGTGATTTCCTCTGTCTGGTTTTCCTCATAGTCCGGCTTCCCCTAAGGGACCCCGTTTTAAAAACAGCTCTCTGTAGCTCAGCTCAGAGCGGGCCAACCCCGTCAAAAACCCAGACAGCAGGAGCTCCATGTGGCGAGAAACCCTATATGTATGGCTCTTAATTTTCAGGGGCACTGCACAGGGCTCACAGGATTTGATTAAAAGATTTGGTTAAAATTTCCGCTGTTTAAGTGAAGGTAGAGCAGGTCACGAAAACCTCTCATGAGCAACACAGCCATCTGACTTAATTTGTCTTTTTTGGCTCAAATCATTAATTCCACCTATGGAAAATATATTTTTTTGTAGACTGGTTTCTGGTCCCTGACGTTTGGAAGAAGGAAGGCCAGAGCGTTGAGGGTGTTGAAGAATGTTTTCCCCTCACTGACATATTGTAAGGACAAACAAAGAAAGGTCAGGAATGCAGAGCAGAGTTGACCTGAGAGCACACTGATCCCTCTCTGTGCAGAGCACAAAGCCCCAAAACCACAGGCCTCTGTAGTTTTATTATTAGAAAGATGAGAGCTATTTGAATACTACAACTGCTCCTATCGTTACTATCATCACTGCAATGAATACTCCTGTATTTTACAACTACTGCTATTAGTTTACCATCCTTCAAGCGACATCTGCCACTAAATGTTTTTCTGTAGTGCTTGTTTAAGACAAAAGCTGGTCATTCAGATCAGTGCTGCATCTCACAGTCCTCATCAGCAGGGCAACACATGGCAACTGAACTTTTTATTAAATGCATCTCGGTGGACCGACTCCATGACAACTGAGAAAACTCCCACAGAAATCCTTTATGACATGTAATTGAAAGCTCTTGAAAAAATCTAACCTTGAGTTAAGATTATTTTGCCAAACTGCTCTTTCAAATGCCATGAACGAACACTTTCACTCAAGAATTAATTTACATCTTTATACAAATATTTCAACATACTAGCTCCAGACTAATAGTTACACAGTGACAGAAACATACTGTACTGTAGATATTTTACTTAATTAAAAGTAGCAATAACAAAGTGAAAGCTCTGCATTCCACATTTTACTTAAAGGTTGCAGGTTGCAACACCACTGGAATGAGAACGGGCTGTAAGAGAAACTACAGTGGGCGCAAAAAAAACGTGAAAGGTCCTATCTACAGCCAGGTTTGTCCATTCTGGGCTACTGTAGAAACATTGCGGTTGAACATGGCGGACTCAGTGGAAGGCGACCAGCTGCATCTGTCGATAAAAACGTCTCATTCTAAGTAAACAAAAACACAGTGATTCCTATATTCAGGTGATTATACACTAATAAAACATATCTATGAATATTATATTCAGTTTGCCAATAGTCCCCTAAATTTACACACTGGACCTTTAATATAACTGGAAAATAATTAGTGATGCATTAATGTGTAAACATCACTCTAATGTTGCTGCTGCAAAGGTGAGGCTAATTTCATATCATTATTTCATCATTTTGTATATAATATATGTATCTATAATAATACATCATAATTGATTAGTTGATTATATTTTGCATTAATAATTTAAATCATAAAACTAGTAACTAAAGTTAGTTGTGTAGAAGAATAAAATAGCAAATATTTTACTTACTCATGTAAAGTCTCATGTTTTACTGTAGTTACTTTCCACCACTGCTCAGACACCCTACATGTATAAACACTGCACTCATGTTGGTTTTTGAAGCTCTGAACATTTTTACTCATCTACATTTCAGTTGTAAATATTTACTTTTTAATCTACTATCTGACAGCTGTAGTTAGACGTCACTTTGCATAGTGAGGCCCATGCTAAACACTGACTGAGCTCACTGTTGACTATTAGGCTTTAAACTAGCCAGGGGAAAGTGGAGTAATTTGACCACCTAGTGTACAATATTAAATTCCTTTTTAATGCTGTGGGCACATAAAGGACACTTAAGATTATCTCCTCATTAAACACACGTTGCACTTGCAGATGTTTTGTGTTGAGAGTTCAATACAATAACAACGTAACACTGCAACAGTAACTATTTAATGAGCTTTTATATGTAAAGACATTTTACTGCACATGCTTACTTTTGTTTATGTGTAATGGATTATTCCAGGGTGGTATTCATAATTTACATCCTCCCCCTCTGTAGTTTATACAAGTCATGAGCTGTAAACCAGAGTGGATTACTGCTGCACCCTAACAAGAATAAACTGTTCTGATCATTTTATGGTATGGTTTTCTTTCAGCGTTTACAATATACAGCCTATAATGTTTTATATATCACGACTTTATAATTACTTTTGAAAACACCGTCTCCAGTGGCTGATAAGGTTTAAACCAACAACAGGGATTTCTTTCCAGGCTGCGGCTGCACATAATAACTCTGTGAAGATAATAAATAACTTGGGCAATACAGTACTAAAGATGAGATGCTGAGTAGCAGAGAAACCTCAGGAAGAGAGTGAAGCCATCAATTCAATCAGATGTCAGAGAGATTTAATTTCTTGTGGTAAAGTAATTACAGCTCACAGTGGCTGGTATGCATGTTGTCAATGGAAACAAACCTTTTAACAGTCATCAATCATAAAGTGTAGATTTGTGCTGCTGTCAGAATAAAGTATGTGAGTGAAGAGTTTTGTGTTCTTTATGGATCATTTATGTTTATTTTTACTGTAAAGCACAGCAGACAGTTACTTCACTTTTTCTGTTATTTGATTTCTGATTTTATTTGTATCAGTCTTGGTCACTGATGACGGCTTTGGTCGCCGACATTTTCACATTTAAGTGTTCATAAGTGGTTGAATAAAACTCCTTGTAGCAGAACTAAACAGCTGCTGTTTTATAATTAATGCTGTAAAAGTTTTGACTCCATTAGCAGGCCTGCTGACACAGCAGTGAACTCTTGTCATAATGCAAAGGGGGAAAACGACCACAAACGTTTATATGATGCCGACTCAGTGTGTTACACAGGCAAAAATAAATAAAAATAATAAAGTTTTGCATGGCTGTTTTATTTTTCAAAAATATTTTGATGGGTGTAAGACCTCAAGAACAACAAAACATTTCCCTCAAACACAGTTTGGCCTTAATGCTCATATTTTTCCTTGAATAAACACAAATGCATCTGCATACATACATACAATTCAAAAAGTACATGTACATATCTTGTTTTTGAATGAGTACATAATGATACACAGTTGCCCTTTGAAATGTGACAGTACACATCCATAGTTTGTTCCTCAATAAGATTTCAAAGTTGTGCTATTGATCTTCTGCCAGTGTGTCTTTTTTTCTTCTTCTCAAACTAGCAGATTTTACATGAAGAAAATGTGTATAATTATTCTCCTCTCGAAGAGCAAGCAATAACACTGAACAGTTCATTCATAAAGAGGGACAGTCAAAAGCACCAGAGGAACTGAAATCGTCTTCAGTCAAATGTCAACCTCTTTTTCATTTTCATGTGAGCTAGAGAGCCGGTGTGCTTTCTCTGTGCCAAGCTGTGTGAAGGCTCTCTCTCTCTGCTCTGAGTCCCTGGGTGAAACTGTCTCTGGAACAGGGCTCGTCACTGTTTCAGGATGAGACAGGTGTCTTTTAGATATGCGGCGGCCTGTCACACGCAGCCGTTCTCCTGCCTGGGCTTATGCACCACAGGGGTGTGTG